ATCCAACGGCGATCGACAGATGAGACTCAAGGGCTCTTTGTGCTTGGGCTGCGGCGCTTCGGATCATTGGATTCGAGACTGCCCGCATGTCACGCAGTTCCAGGCGCAGATGGCTTCCGCTGATATGGAGCTGGACCCAGAGGGCGCACCAGTCGCTGTCAGCTGGATGGTGACGTCGCATGCCGAAGCCGTGGAGGAAAAGGTTGAAGTCTTCAAGGTGCCACGCCCTCCAGCAATCATGCTGTCCACTTGCGAAGATGCTTCTTTTCTTATTGCCGATACCGGGTGTCAACGTCAGGTTGCAGGCAGTGTTTGGCATCGTCAGAAGTGTAACGAGATACAACCACTTGTGCCACTCCGCTTTGAAGAAGTTTGTCGTTACTCTTTCGGCCCCTCGAACGGCATGCCGAGCAAGGGAAGGTACCTCTACCCCGCGGGCATAGCTGGAGAAACAGTGTTTCTTGCCATCAGCGAGGTCGAAGCTCCAGCGCCGGGACTGCTGTCGCGAAGAACGATGGAGGCGCTCGGTGCTGTGCCGGATCTTTTGGAGGGTGAAATTTATTTCAAAGCGCTGGGAAAGTCAACATGCTTGTACTTGAGTCCATGTGGGCATCTTGCACTTAAGATTGACGAGTGGCCGAGCAGTGCTTTTGAGTGGCCCGGCCAGTACTCCTCCATGCAGTTCACTGGTCAAGGTCCCCCTGATGTGATTCATGAGCGAGCTTTTCCGCCCAGCAGAGTGAGGCTTAAGGCCATCAGCAATTCGCAGATAGCAGCCCGACCACCCCATGCCTGCACGAGATCACCCGGCATGGCTGGAGAACTGGAGGATGATCCTGGTGCACTTGCAGGAGTTCATCTACACGACCCAGATGGCGGTGCTGTACTACTCGGCGGCCACGCTCCGCCCGAAGTTGAAGGACTCGGTGTTGAAGCTCTACATGGAGCCCTGCTCGGCAGTGACGATGATGGGGACCCAGGCGGCAATGGCGGCAACGAATGCCTTGCAGCTCAATCGGTACCCGAAGAGCCCGGCAAAGTGCGACCACACCCACGGAACGGGCACGCGGACCTACGCGGCCGGAGGCATGCGGATCCGCATCTGCGATGCTTGCGGGAGCAGGTGGGTGTTGACTTTGACAGGCGAGGCTCTGGAGGCCGTTCCCAAGGCAAACCCCAACGCCAAGACAGGTCTGGGCTTGACGGACAGCCAGAAGCAAAGGCTCGCCCAGGCAAAAACAAAGGCCAAGCAGCCGAGCCCGGCCCAAAGCAGCGCTTCGGACGCATCTTGGCAGCGCTTGTCGGCCTCCTCGCAGGTGCCATCTCAGGCCAAAGCCCGTACGGGTTTGAGGCCACCGCCTCCGCCGAGACAGAGCTGGGGTCCTCAGAGTCAGAGCCCGAGTCTTTTCCGTATGAACGGACAGAGAATGCCACCTCGTCAGTGGCACTCCGCGAGGTCAGCGGCGGGATCGGACACCGATATGAGCGTCGACACCGCTGGAGGCCGTCCCCGACGAGTCCAAGGCCCTCGAGATTATCGCCCAGGCCAACCGCCAGAGGGCGAGGAGCTGACCCCGGAGGAGATCGACGCCATCTTGATGAGCCAGCGAGACGATCCGAGTCTCTGGCGCGAGAGAATGGACCGGGACGACTGGGAGCCGGACGACATGAACGAGATGTCCCCCGAGCTGAGGCGCGAGTTCGAGGAGGGCTACTACTAGGTCCCGGCGGTTTCAGAGATGATCCTCCCCCTCTGCCTGCTTATCCATGCAGCTCGGCGGACCACCCGTTGGATATCGAGGACAAAGGTTGCTTTTTGTTGAAGAACGGGGTCAAAAAGCGGCTACTGGGTTCTGCCAAAGCTGTGCTCCAAGCCTGGGAGACTGAGGCGGTCGTGTATGCGAACCGCGCCCATCTTGCCCGGAAGCTCCGCGACTACTCCGCCGACATCCTGGAGCTCGACCCGGTAGTGCCCGAGATCTCGGAGATGGCTCTGACTGCGGGCTTACGTGTGCTTGAGCCAGTGGGACTACTGGATGCGGTAGCCCAAGGCATGGATGTGCGAGTGCTAAGGAAGCTGATCAAGCGGAGGAGACCGTTTGCCGTCGTTTGCCGAGTGCCGGAACTCCTTGAACCAGGTGACCACGGGGATTACTCGGACAAGGTGTGCCAGTTGCTCCACGAGATGCTGGACCAGGGCACTCACTTTTGGATGCGTGCGAATAAGTCCGAAGAGCTTCTGTCTGGACTAAGGGCCCGCCAGCTCCAGTCAGCCCCGGGTGTACGCACAAAGGTGTGTCAACATGTTCTCTACATGACGGACCTGCCCGAGTTCTTCGAGGAGGCGGCCAAGCTCGGCAACGAGATGAGTTCCGTGTCCGAGACCAAGGTGATCATAAGTGCCCTTCAAGAGGCCCTTCAACGACGAGGTGATGAGAGGTGGAACCAGAACTGGTACGTCAACTCGGGTCTGCCAGGAGACGATGAGAATTGGATATGCGAGGCATACCACGGGAGTTCCCTGGACAACTTCGAGCTACTTTGGGAACCTCCTGGCGAACCTCGGGCGTC